AAAGTGCTGGGATTACAGGCTTGAGCCGCCGCGCCCGGCCAGAGAGGGCTTTCTCTGAGGATTTGGCATCAAGTTTGATTTTGTTTATTTTGTTTTTATCCCCTTAGGTGTGAGAGGGTCCAGCAGAAGAAAACATGGCTGCCAAAGTGTTTGAGTCCATTGGCAAGTTTGGCCTGGCCTTAGCTGTTGCAGGAGGCGTGGTGAACTCGGCCTTATATAATGGTGAGACATGGAGGGGCACTGAGTGACTGCGCTTTTCTGGGAGATTTCTGTTGGTCTGCACAGTGCGTGTGACACCCCTGATGGTAGCTGCTGTCTGTGAATGTGTTTGTGGCCATGAAGGTTCACCTCCTGCCGTTCCATACCATAGGACTGCATTGTTATCAAGCCCCTGACCTTGCAGTCATAGGTCCTCTCAGAGTCTTTATTCAAAAAGAGCCTCCCAGCCCACTTCCTTGTTGGATGTGTCCAGCGGCTCCTGTCAACATGAAGCAATGCCCACCACCCAAATGCTGCTGCGTAGTGTCCGGATTTCCCTGGCTATCTGAAATGGAGATCTCATTTGTTCTCCTCTGCTTGCATGTGGAATAACAGCAAAGCTGTAGATCTGTTTGGATTGGGTGACCTTGTCCTGAGCAGGGGCTTTTGCTCTGCTGAATTTGGGTAGTTTCAGAGAAAATATCTTTGGGATGCACTGCCCAGCTTTTAACAGTATAGGAGAGGGGTTAAGCTGGCTTTTCTTCCACTTCATTGTGGAAGCTTCCTCATTGGTCAAGCAATGGATTTGACCTGACTTTATCTCTAGGACTTCCTTAACTCTGACAATCTGCTACTTTCACATCCCACAAAGCAGCAGTAGATTGACCCGTCTGGTGTGTGAGGAGCTTTACTTTCAGAGTGAAGATATTTGGACCAATGATCAAGTTCTGAGAGGCAGCTGATTAGAAAAGCCTGCTTGGCTTATATGACACATCCTAGCAGTACTATGATCCTTTTGGCCACACCTGCAACAAGACAGTAATTGCTATCACTGAATTTCTCTCTGTACCAAGATAGCTCTATAACCCCTTAAAACTTTAGAGAAACTGCTATTAGGAAGAAAGAGGACCTTCTAAATGTAGAATTCCCATAATGAGGGTGCTGCTTCTGTGAGTACTACGTTAAATTGGAGCCCGATGGACATGCGGTAACTGGGAAGACCTCACTGAGTCTTAGAAGTTTTGGTAGATGATTCCTGGAAATATGTTTGTGGGTGTTCAGGGATAGAATGGTCATTCAGAAAATCAACAGCCAGTTCCCTCGAGGAGAAAGGATGCTAGGGAACAGATCCTGTTACCAATTCTTGGGGAGATGTGGAACAGAAAGTGATTGTTAGTTTTGTAGCAATTTGAAGTGTCTAGAGGCCAGGAGATGGGGAAGACAGAAGAGTGGGGACTTCAGTGAACAGAAAGCACCAGGGCTCTTTCAAAGACATGATGCTTTTGTTTAAAGGATGCGAGGATTCTTCTGACGTGTCATTATCCTTTCCTCCTAGTGGATGCTGGGCACAGAGCTGTCATCTTTGACCGATTCCGTGGAGTACAGGACATTGTGGTAGGGGAAGGGACTCACTTTCTCATCCCATGGGTACAGAAACCAATTATCTTTGACTGTCGTTCTCGGCCACGTAATGTGCCAGTCATCACTGGTAGCAAAGGTGAGTCTTGCCTGTGGTTCAGGTAAAATAGGGAGTGTGGAAGAGGTGCTGTGCTCTTTTCTGTCCCAGGAGCATCTGTGGGATACCAGGATCCAAAAGGCTTTGGACTGCACATCATAGGAATGACTAGACTATTTGCCCTGGAGAGCTTGATATGGATTCTTAGAAGTATCCACTTAAGGCCAGGCACGGTGGCTCATGCCTGTAATCCTAGCACTTTGGGAGGCTGGGGATCGCCTGAGGTCAGGAGCTCGAGACCAGCCTGGCCAACATGGTAAAACCCCATCTCTCCTAAAAATACAAAAATTAGCTGGGCATGGTAGTGGGCGCCTGTAATCCCAGCTATTCAGGAGGCCTAGGCAGAATTGCTTGAACCCTGGGGGCGAAGGCTGCAGTGAGCTGAGATCATGCCACTTCACTCCAGCCTGAGTGAAAGAGCAAGACTCCATCTCAAAAA